CCTGCTCTCCCTGTGATCTTCTCTGACAGTTCCTTCTTAAACATCTTCCAGAGCCAAGTGCAGATGAGGAGAGTCCAGGGGGCTGTGGGCAGCTGCTAGTGGCCCCTCGGGGCCTTGTGCGTGTGGCAGCCCCTGCCCAGGCCATTGGGGACCCAGCCCCACCGTGGGACATAGTGCAGAAGTGGGGCTCTTCCTGCAGGAGTATGCGGGTTGATGGATGCCCTCCCTTCCCAGCTGCCCAGCAGGCAGGCTTGAGGCTGAAGGAGCTTCTCCTCCTCCTCCCCACCCCTCTCTGTTGCCTGTAAGCCCCAGAAATAACCTATTTGGCTGACTCCTACCCCAGCCCAGCCCCCCTTTCTACCCTGGCTGAGTCCCCTCTGTCCCCTCTGCACCAGGGCTGCCTCAGGGAACAGGAAGGGCCTGCAGGGCTGGGGCTGGGGCTGGGGCTGCAGCTCTAGATGCAGGAGGGCTCTTCTTTTGGAAGCTCTGCTTCCAGCAGCAGTGTGCGCTGGGCACACAGCAGATGTCCCTGAATAGTAGCCCCTTGGCCATCTGCATGATGGGGCAACTCTCCTGCACACAGGACTGGAATGAGCTGGCTGGGACACGCTTTACCCCCTCTGTGACTTGACTCCAGGCCTTGGACTTTCTGTCTCCTGTACTCAGTGGTCTCCCATATACTCTCTGACTTGGGCTCTCTGCCTGGGACCCTCTCTTCCCTCCTGTCATTAACTCTGTTCCTGTCTCTTTCCTGCCTCCATCTGATTGGTTCCAATTGCTCTGGTTCCCCTCCCTCTGACTGGACTCACTGAAGCGGGGAATGAGGGGAGAGGAGCTGAGATGGATGAACTTGGGCACCTACTATTTTAGGGCAGAGTTGAGAATGTGACAGGTTGTCTCAGGTGGCCGAAAGAATCCTGTGCTGCTGCGCGTCCAGAGACCTGGGTTCTGAATCGCCTTGCCCATGTTGGCACCACCCCGTGAGGTCACGACCTCTGGGCATGGCTTTTCATTACTAGCGCGCCTCAATGACACCAGCCTATTCTTAGTGTTGTCTTGCACTGCCTGAACAGGGCATCATAATCTGGGAAGTTCTGGGCAAGTGTGGGTGTCAGGAATTGAGGACTTGGGGCCGGGGAGATGGCTCAGTGGAATAAGTGCTTCCATGGCAAGCACAAGGGCCTGAGTTCAAGCCCCGGTTCCACCAAAAAAAAAAAAAAAAAAGGAATTGAGGACTGCAGGGACCTGGCAATGACCCTTGGAAGGACTAGGATTTGTAGGTGGTGGGGGACTTGCTTCTCTTCCCTAGGACTAAAGTAGGAATGAGGGACCAGGTTGGTGGCAAGAGAGCAAGAATTGGAGATGAACATGAAATGTGAAGACTTCACCTTCTCTTCACACCAGACCAGACATCCCAAGGAAGCCATGAGATTTAGGGGACTCTCCTCCTTTCTTCCCGAACTGCCTCTATTTTGGACCCTGGAAGGTGCTACTTCTGTCCTGGAGAACTCTCAACCGAATGAGGGGCCCTTACACTATTCTCTTTGCTGCTTCATATACAGGTGGAGAGAAAGAGAGAATCGGTGTGGTCCAACTAAGGGTTTATAGTGGCACCCCTTGGCCTGGCTTGGCCCCCCAGTCTTCCTGGTTAAGAATAGCGGTGGGAACTCGATGGGGGTGAGGCTGGTTGACTAGCAGGTCAGAGGGACAGTTTCAGAGTGGCGACCTGAGTGGCCTATGGAAGGCTGTGCTCACTGCTGAGGCTGAGGCCTTCTCACCAGCAGGAGGCAGATGGTGTACCCCTGCGTGCCTCTTCTTCCCCACCTGGTGTCTCTCCCATGTTTTCAAACACCTGCCACCTGCACCACACAGAGGCAGCGGAAGGGGTAGTGTTTTCCACAACCCCGTCGCCTGCCTGCCCACAGCCCTACCTTAGGGTAGCCGTGACCCTCATATACCAGACAGGGCAGAAACTAGCAGGCTGTGTCCGAGTCTGGGACCTGCCTCCCTGCACACACCAGCCCCATAAATGCCCCCTGTCTGTAGCCTGCCCGCAAATCCACACTCCGCCTCCCCAGGCCAGCCACCTTTGCAGAATGGCCTCTTTCATTCTTCCTTGCAACAGCTCAAGAGCAGTCCCCCCACCAGCAGACGCAGAGCCAGACATAATATAGATCTGCAGACCCACGGCTCATTATTCATGGCAGTAATAACTGGAGTGCAGCGGCAATGAGTGTGGCTTGGGGTCAGGCGGGCTTGGTCCACGGCCCAGCTCTGCCATTCAGCGTGCCCTCTCGTCTCCGAGCCTCAGTTCCTTATCTGGAAATTGGGGTTAATGATATTTCCATGGAAGGATTAATGACATATTCTCTGCGGTGAGGCTTAAACGAAACCATATATCCGAGGCGTTCCCTCCAGCTGACACAGAAGGTAAGCGTTCAGCGAATGGCAGGAATTATTACTGATCACGTTACAGGGCATTGTTGGCCTCACAATCCCCGTAAGAGCTCTGGGGAGTACATGGCGTTGAGGCTGTTTTCAAAATTTTACCAACAAAGAAACTGAGCCCGCTGACACATGAGCACACTGATACACAATTAAGATCTAAGTCACAGGTCAAAAATGTGCGGTGCATAAACACAGGCACGCAGAGATCCAAGCTCCGTAATAGCTGGCTGAGGAGACACCTCTATGTCCTCAAGCCCAGGGCAGTACTTGTCTAGGACGTCACTGTCCAGTGAGACAACAAGCTACTGCCCACCCCCAGACCTGCCCACATCTGGCACTGGAACCTGATACACCAGGGAGCCAGGAGGAGGAGAGCCCAGGAGCCGGCGATCATTAGCCAGGCCTCTGCTGGTTTTCTGGTGGAACCAGGGACAAAGCCTGCCAGGGTAGCGCTTATTCCATTGAGCCATCTCCCCGCCCCGCCCCCCCTGCTGGTTTTCATCCGGGAGTAAAGTTAACATATTTCACAGTTCTGAGGGCCTCCATCTCCCGGCATATACAGTGTGGCCCCAACCTGCGCAGGAGCCCAGAAGTGGCCATGATTGCGCCACAGATGAAGAAACTGAGACACAGTGACTTCAGTGACTCATCAGAGATCGCACAGCAGGTGGAAAAGTGCCAGGACTTGAAAGGAGAGCAGCCGGACTCTGAGCCCTTCTCCCTGCTATCCCGTTGGGTGTGCCTAAGTTGAGGGATGCCAGGATGGACTGGAAGCGGCTTCCTTCCCTTGAAGACCAAAGCCCAGAGAGCTTACGGGCTCTGGGGGCCCTGCGCAATGCCCCCCTCCAAGCTCCACAGACCTCCCATGTTTGCCTCCCAGGGGTCCCTCTGGAAACCTCTTAATCTTAGAAGGAAACAAACAAAACCCTTCTTCATGGGTAGACCCAAAAGATTATATAATCAAAATTCATAGGCCTTTATCTCCACAATGATCTGTTCTTTAGTTCAGCAAATATTCTCAGGGAATCTGTGATCAGCCAAGCTCTGACTAGATCTTGGGAGTTGGAGCATAAGTAAGAAGAGGCCCTAGTAGCTGGGTGTGGTGGTGCATGCCTGTAATCCCAGCATGGGAGACCCAGACGGGGATCCTTGTGAGTTTTAGACCAGCTTGGGCTACAAAGTGAGCTCAAGGCCAGCCTGAGCACAGTAAGACCGTGTATCAAAAAGGCAAAAAAGCAAAACCCTGCCCTCTGGGAGCCTACAGTGATACACGCTGGCATTAGCAGCCTGTGCAGATGTGTGTGGGAGGGAGACAGTGCCTATTTGCCAACGGGAAATGTCCAGTTCATTGAGTTCCTTAAACATGCAGGAAGGGCCTGCTTTGGCCATATGCTAGGGACTGGAAACAGTGTATAAATACTAGTGAGAGAGGTCCCTGCTTTCCCACAAGATAGCAGTTTTGGTTGAGGCAGGGACAGATGGTCACCACAAAAAACCCAAATACAGGACAGAGGTGCTGAGACCTGTGAGTGACCGGCTAGGGTCAGGCCACAGAAAGCTTTTGTATTTGCTGGGATTTGATGGGATGTAACATCACAAGGACATGGCACATGGGAAGAGTAAGCTTAAGCAAAGGTCCTGAGAGGAGAAAAATCAGGGCTTGAGGACCTCAGAACAAAAGGCCTGGTGGCTTGGAACTCATGTCAGAGGCAGTGAAGGCGTCTGAGCAGCAGAGTAGCACAGCCTTAACGGCCACAGGAGGCTACTGGAGTAAGGGACCCATCCATCTGGCTGCCCCTGGGAGAGGAGCAGACAGGTGACAGGTGTAAACAGCTCATGATGGTGGTTGCCCTTCTGGAGCTGCCAGCTGTGCTTCAGCCCTGAGATAGCCCTGCCTCTCCTGGAGTGTGAGGCTGCTCACAGCTGAGCGTGTATTGTGGAGAAGTGTTAGGGGGGTGTTGTCCCTGAAGTGGTGCAGTCTGGGAAAGCCTGTGGACTGCACACCCCAACAGAAGGCAGCCTGGGAGCAGAACCATCTCTGGGAGTTAGGGTGAGCAGCACCGCCCTGCCAAGAGGTGCAGGTGTGTTGGCTGTGCCCTGGGCTGACCCCGCTGTGCTCTCCCCGGCAGTTCCCCCAGAGGATACCAGGATCGATGGCGGCCCTGTGATTCTGCTGCAGGCAGGCACCCCCCACAACCTTACCTGCTGAGCCTTCAATGCCAAGCCTGCCGCCACCATCATCTGGTTCCGGGACGGGACACAGCAGGAGGGCGCAGTGGCCAGCACGGTGAGACTCCCCCTGCTCCTCTGGACCTAGCCTACTCTTCTTTACCACAAGCTCTGACCACGAGCTGAGGAGGACAGAGGCGAGAGACGGGCCCTGCAGGTCATCTGGTCCTGCGCTCTAATGACACAGTTGGAAAATTGTAGCTGTGGGAAGAAGAGAAGTGATCCCCAGGGTCACTACACCACTCAGTAGCTGAGCAGAAACCAAAGTAGTAACCATACACTTCCTGTGCTCCAGATTCTGTACACAATAAGCCCTTCCTGGACAGGTTCTCTTAATTCTCCCAGAGTCCTAGAATGTGGGTGCCACGTGCACCTCACAAAGGCAGGAAGTGGTGAGAGGTTGAGTGTATTGCCCAAAGCCACAGAGCTGGGATTTGTACCTGGGTCAAATGGTGTGCTGTTTGCACTGAGCAGTCCTACCTCTTCAGCAGCAGGTCAGTATGTTACCTGAGTCATGACCATCAAGAGGTTGGGGAAGAGGGTTATTTACTCAACGCATTTTACAGAGGAGGCAGCTTGACAGTGAAAAGTGTTGAACAGCTTGCCTTTCATTGTAGGGCGGGGGAGGAGGTAGAGATGGAAGTAGAGTCCACATCTGCTCGGGGTCCTTCTGCTAGCTGTCGGCAGGTGTGTGTGTGGTCATCACTTCTGGGTGCTCAGAGATTCATCTCTGTGTGCGGAGAGGCTGCCCATCTTTGTTCATCCGAGGGTGCTGAGCCCAGGGGTTCCTGACTCTTTAGCTCTATGTCTATGCACCCTGCCGGCTCATCTCTCTTCAGTCTGGGTGTCAGCCTGTGATTGGCTGGGCTCTGTGGTGCTTCTCTTTACCACTAAGAACTGCTATTTTTCTCCTATAGGGCTACATGTTTTAAAATGTTTCGGCAGCTCAACAAGTCTCTTTGTTCTGGGTGTTATCCATCCTCCATTTCGGTATCCATTTAGGACCACAGCCCTGTGCGGGAGCCGTGTTGTAACACTGACTGGCTCTGTGTGGTCCCCTAAAGATCAGGACTTGTCTAAGTGCAGACCCAGACTGTGGTTGA